GGTGTATAGAGGGGGCTTTTGATGTGAAGGGGGGGCCTTCTTATATAAATGTGGGGGACATTTAATCTAAAAGGGGTTCACATGTGAAGGGTGGGGGGGGGGTCTGATATAAAGGGGGTCTTCTGATAGGGAAGGGGGAAGTCTATTGTGATGGGGAGGACTCTGGTAGTGGGGGGCTTCTGCCTGTAAAGGGGGAATTCTGATGTATAGAGTGGGTGCTGATGTGAAGAGGGACTTTGATGTGAAGGGGGGGGGGGGGTTAAGATTTTGGCTGGAGATGGTGTTCAGATGCAGCAGATCATGTGATGAACACTTATTGGCCGTTTGTGTGGAAGTCCATCTCTGCACCTGTTTGGCTGACGGACGGTGTTAGTAACACAAGTGGGTTGTTTCGGTTGTCACCGAAACTCTGGGTGGTCTGCACTTCCTGAACTGACCCTGACACCAAAATCCTCGCCGTCTCAACAAGCAGCACGCACTCACTGGCGCGGTGTTAAACCTTGACTCCTCCATCACCCATGCTGTAGAAGTTTACAGATTTTCTGCATCCACTCTGAAATGTGTATTTTCCTGACTTCCAACATTAAAAACCTTCCTCCTTCAACCAGAAATCTTGCAGTGCAACATTGGTCCAAATGTCTAAAGTCCACCATGAATGACTGGAATTCCCTTCACACCCCAGATGTGCTCCGGCCACCTTATGGTCATGGAGCAGCTCACCAATCAGAGCCCACATCACAAGAGACCACGCTTTTAGATGACCGATCCCGACTGGATGAATGGTCCCAGCTATCACTCCCTCACAGCCGGTTGTGCCTTGAATTGCTCTATCTCCCCAGCGGCTTGCCCCAAACAATCACTGGATGCGCCTCACATAAAAATGTCTAACAAAAGACCTATCGAGGGAAAAGCAAGGAAATCCAAGTACAGTTAAAACACAATTTATTACAAAATTCAGTGGGTGCTCACAAACGATAAAAGATTAGAGCATATCACAGATGCCTGCTGGCTTCACGGACAAACGTAGTGACGTCACTGCTGGGCTCTGCCCTACGTGTTTCGTCCAGTGGGACATCTTCCAGGGGCAATGAAGTCCTAGACACTGGCTATAGTCGACAACACTGATTATTGTATTCTGACAGTAACTCTCCCCACTGTCAGAATACAATACTCCCATGGAAGGGATTCCCCCATCCACACCGGGCATGTGGATGGAGGAATCAAATCTTTTTTTTTTTGTTTTTTTTGTTTAACCCACCGGTTGAACGAAAAAAAAAAAAAAAAAAAAAAGCATCTATAGCCTGTCTAAGTCTGATGTTTTTTTCAACAGAACAAGCTCTCCTGCAAATGTAGCAGTTAAAGTTTTGACACAAACAATTTACCACTAACAGGTGTGGTTAGAATGATCAGCTTTTATTTATTGATGAAAAACCTTTATCCAGGATGGAACAAAACGATTGCTCTAACTCAAGTGTAAGCTTGAATTCGGCTTCAATTTATTAGTGTATCTAAATCTGCTAGTACATCTAACACTCCTCTCCCCCCAGACTGACAATGCTGCTGTCTGCAGGTGCTCCCTGTGCTCCTTCATTCAGAGTGGGGGCGCTCTAATACAGGAGATGTGTTGCTAGCCAGATCACCAGGTGTTAACAGTTTTGGTACTGGGTGTAATACTGCTTTAATTCATTTTTGATATTTAAAGCAAATCCCTCCATCCATCCATGTCTCCATGCTTTATTTTGGTGAGGATTCAGTTTATCCCCCCAGCATTTCTAGCTGCAGCCATCTTGAGTAAGGGCAGATGATTCATGTAGCACAGGGTTTCTCCTCCAGAGGGTGCTTAAGGGTTCCTCGAGCAATGAGAACTTTCTGCCTCTCAGATCAGTTCCCACTGACACCATTGATCTATTTAGCTATCTATAAGGGGGTAATTCTTCCCAATGATGACAAGTGTAAGGAGCCTTCTTCCCACCGACCATCACGCTAATGTATCATTAGTTGTAGGCAGGGGCGGACTGACCATTCGGGCACTTCCCGAGGGACAAGGGTCAGTCGGGGGCCCCATGACGTGCCCCTGGTACCTTTCATAGGCTTTTTTGGGTGTGGTTTGAGTATGGGAGAGGACACCTGGGCCCCATAATCCCCTATTGCCCAGGGGCCCCACGAGTTGTCAGTCCACCCCTGGTTGTAGGTATAGTAATTTTTAGCAGTGTTCCCTGGGACTGAAAATGATTATATCAAGGGTTCCTCTGTATTGAAAAGGTTGAGAAAGACTGAAGCAGCATTTACTTCTGCCCTTAGCTCAGATATGAGAGCGTGCTTTGCTGAGAAAGCCCCTCCTACAAATGGGATGCATGACATCATTTTGGCTTAGGCCAGAAACCAGGAAGCAATGGAGGAAATGTGTAAAAAAAAAAAAAAAATAATTATATATATATACACACAAAATTAAGCTAGCGGCATAAGGAATACAAATATTCAATGTTGCTTGAGAGAGTGAAGTTCTGCTTTAAGGACCCACAGGAGGTGATTGTAAAGTTTTAGTAAATCTATCCCTATGAATGTTGTTGCATGAAGAGATATAGGACCTCTGCTTCTATGCAGCCAACTATGGTCCTTTGCAGCATGCTGGCAGGGGACAGGCTTTTCTACTCAGGCTGGCAGGGGACAGGCTTTTCTACTCAGGCTGGCAGGGGACAGGCTTTTCTACTCAGGCTGGCAGGGGGACAGGCTTTTCTACTCAGGCTGGCAGGGGGACAGACTTTTCTACTCAGGCTGGTAGGGGACTGGCTTTTCTAACTCAGGCTGTCAGGAGACAGGCTTTTCACTCAGCTGGCAGAGGACTTTCTTTTCTACTCAGGCTAGCAGGGGACAGGCTTTTTTACTTAGGCTGGCAGGGGACTGGCTTTTCTACTCTGGCTGGCAGGGGACAGGCTTTTCACTCAGCTGGCAGGGGACTGGCTTTTCCACTCAGGCTGGCAGGGGACAGGCTTTTCTACTCTGGCTGGCAGGGGACAGGCTTTTCTACTTAGGCTGGCAGGAGACTGGCTTTTCTACTTAGGCTGGCAGGGGACTGACTTTTCTACTCAGGCTGGCAGGGGGACTGGCTTTTCTACTCAGGCTGGCAGGGGGACAGGCTTTTCTACTCAGGCTGTCAGGGGACTGGCTTTTCACTCAGCTGGCAGGGGACTGGCTTTTCCACTCAGGCTGGCAGGGGACAGTCTTTTTTACTCTGGCTGTCAGGGGATAGGCTTTTCTGCTCTGGCAAGGGACAGGCTTTTCTACTCAGGCTGGCAGGGGACAGGCTTTTCTACTCAGGCTGAGGCTGCTTTATTAAGAAAACCAACTGTAAGGCTGTGCTCTCTTGTTATGATGGCCCTGGAATGTAATTCGCTGATTGAAACTGGAAATTCAACTGAGTTGTAATGTTGTTACAGAGATAATTTGTGTTAACAAGGACAGTCCTGACGTCTGCCTGACATTATCATCAGGGAAAGTGTACGCTGTCATGTTGGCGTTGTGCGTGGCATGTCCTCTCTTAACCGGCAATGCGTGATCATTTCCTAATAACTGATTGTTTGTTGTCTGTGTCTGGATTCTCAGCTGTTTCTCAGTAACAGATATTAGACAACCTGAAATTGGCCCCATCGATCCCCGGAGAGCGAGCGCTGCCTCAGACAGGACGCCGGATGGATCTGCTTTTACCATTGTAATATAGAAAAACTGAGGATGGGGGGGTCCAAGGAAGGGGGGGGGGGGGGGGGCGTGAGTCTGAACCATTTGTATGTATATATACATTATATAATATCCTCATTTTTTTATTTTTTCTTTGGAGGAATTTTTGCGAATTTTGTCTTTGCTGCAAAATTACAGACTTCACCAATGGCGGAAGATTGACTTTTCCCTCCTGTCATTTGAGGGTGTTTTATATATTATACATTTATTTATTTTATAAGTTTACATTTTTTTTTAACGATTTCTATGGTGATATTTGTATGTTTATGGGTGTATTTGATCGTTCTTTGTATACTGCCATTTATTTATTTCTTTTTTCACTGTTTTTAGGGCCACAGTCCAGATGTGTTCCAGATGCATTTCCGTATGTGTGGTTTTTATGCGTTTTTTTATACGTTCCAGGGCATTTTTTAAATGCATTTTGGTGCGTTCCGATGTGTTTTTATGCATTTCAGTTAATTTTTTCCACTCTCTTTTTCTTCAATTTAAGAGCCAGTTCACACTATAGAAACGCAGTTCAGATGTGTTTCTGCATTCACGGTTTTTATGGGTTCCTGTGCGTTGTTTATGCATTCCAGTTCATTTTTACCCTTCTTTTTTTCCTCTGTTTAAATAGGGACATGTGCATTCCAGTTAGTTTTTGATGCATTTTATTGCGTTCTGATGCATTTAAATGCATTCCAGTACAGTCCTGGAACCCGAGCACTGATGTGAACTATGACATTAACAACCATTTAACCTACTTTCTGTATGTTTTGGATGCAGAAAAAAAGCAACTAAAACGCATGTAGTGTGAACTGGCCCTTGAAAAAAAAATCCTTAAGGGCCAGTTCACACTATAGAAACGCAGTCTGGATGTGTTCAGGATGCGTTTCTGGTGCGTTTTTGACGCGTTCCAGTTCATTCTTTCCGCTCTTTTTTTTTTATTTTAACTAGCGATGTGAATTCCAGTGCGCTTTAGATGCTTTTTACTGCCTTCCAGTACAGTTCTGTGCAGAAAAAATGCAGCATGTTCTACTTTTTTTTTTTTTTCTGCAACCGGAACGCGCTGGAAACTGCAAGCTCTTATGTGAACTATGACACCGACAACCAGGGGCGGACTGACCATTTGGAAACTCGGGCACTGCCCGGGGTCAGTAGGGAGCCCCATGAGATGCCCCTGCTACCTTTTTCATGGGCTTTTTTCAGTTTGAGCAAAGATACAGGGGCCCCATGATCCCCTATTGCCCGGGGGCCCCATGAGTTGTCAGTCCGCCCCTGCTGACAACCGTATAACCTACTTTCTGTGCGTTTTGGATGCATAAAAAAAGCAACTGAAACACATGTAGTGTGAACTGGCCCTAAATCTGACCTCCAGCCCCCCCTTCAGTCTTGCACAGTTGTAGCCTCTCCTGGACTGACATTTCACTGCATACTAAGGGCTCATGTACACTGCAGCTGATAAACTGACGTTCAGGAGCTTTTCTGCGTTTTTTTCAGCAGCCCCTGAACTCTCCCTAATGTTGTCTATATGTGTCCATGTACACATCGTCGTTTACATTCGTTTACAGGCAGTTGAGTTTACAGTTGTTTTTTTGAACGCACCAAACTTGCGTTCAGGAGTAGATTTTATTGGCGTTTCAAACGCTTGTAAACATGACTAACCGCGTTTATAAGCGTTTCCGTTTAGAAGCGTTTTTTAACTGTTCCATATCCAGATGCTGTCCAGAGCCTTTTTTCATCATCAGAAATGCATGCAAAGCATTTTCCATGTCTTCAATTGGACCCAGTACTCCAGCGCAGTCAATTCCAGGTTTTGTGTGAAGGAAACAATGGTAGAACGTGCCGCATTATGTTCATGATGGGATCCATAGTGAATACAACCAGAAAAGACAGGTCATGGGATGAACACATAAAGGTTTGATTCACAAATGTCGTTATCTTGTTGATGATGATGGGGAGGGAGGAACCAGGGAAGGCAAAAGCTTAAACTATAGTAATCATTTCTTTTCATGGCCTCTGTGTTCCTTTTAAATATGTTTTTAGGACATCTACAGCAGGTCCTGTTAGAGAGACGCCAGGCACTGGAAGTGGGCTTGTCTATACTGAATACATTCCTGACATGTCACAATAGAAAACATTTATAGAAAAGCTTCACCTTGTATAGATAAAAAGTGGATTTGATCTCATGCTAGTGACTCCGCCTAGGCTGAGATGATGTCATCAGTCTGCTGCAGGCAAGAGGAAGCATTTCCTCAGTCTCTCCCACCCTCCCCCCCGTGATCAGACTGTACATTGTAATTTTGTGAACACGTCAGAAGGTGGGGGACTGCAGCAGGGGCTGATCTGTGCAGCTTTAAAATTATATTAAACCCAAAAATGTAACATATTGCAGCTTACCAATTGTTAGATGTGGTGGCTGCATTTGTTTTTGTTTTTTAGGCTTTTTATTATTTATTTCAGAGCGCTGTCAATTTATAAATTCTGTATAATAATAATATAAATCCTGTATAATAATAATATAAATCCTGTATAATAATAATAATAATATAAATCCCGTATAATAATAATAATATAAATCCTGAATAATAGTAATATAAATCCTGTATAAGAATAATAATATAAATTCTGTATAATAATAATAATAATATAAATTCTGTATAATAATAATAATAATATAAATTCTGTATAATAATAATAATAATATAAATCCTGTATAATAATATAATAATAATTAATAGGGGTGGGGGAGGGGCAGAGAACCATACAACTTTTTTTTTTTTATAATGGCATTCCGTCCTATCACATTCTGTCCCAGGCTGTGGGGGAGGGGGGGGGGGGGTAGTTTTCCCCATCTGATATCTTTCCAGTGTCCATCTAGGTTTTGGCACAAGGCCATCGCCGTACCCGGATGACTTGGATTTGATGTCATCGTTACTTTTCTGCACATTTTCAGAGAATCGCTTTTTTTCAGCCTAAATCTCCAGCTGCGCGGGTGAATCTCCTGCAATCCAGATGTGTCAACTTTTTGTGACCTTCTGTTATAAATACACGCTTTGGATGTGTCCGTTCCGCAGCAGAGTGCAGCGTGCGTGACGAGATGGGGGGGAGGGTGGGGGCTGAGTGAAAATTTTCCGTCTCTGTAGGCCTGCAGTGCAGACGTGTAGCAGCCCATTGATCTGATAGAAAATATTCACTTTGGTTTTCGTGAAAGTATTCCGGTGACCTAAATCTGTCTCCGTCAGTTTTCACACCAGGCAATCATGAAAAAGGTTTACCGTCTTTAACGATGAAATAAAAAAAAAAAAAAAAAACCCAAAAAACAAATTCCTCGCTTCCAGGCTTAACGCTGAGAAATGATTGGCTGGCCTGGTGACTAGTTGTAGCTAGTTCTGTAGCAGGTGCATTGTACTTATGGTGTTCTATCTGGGCTTTTTTTTCTTTATGTGGGGGAGGGGCGCCCATCGCGATGGCGGTTTATAATTCTCACCGCCGGGAACCTCGGGACGGTTTAGATTGGATTGTCATGTCTGTAGACCATTAAGATCAGAGAGCTGCCTGGGAGGCTGTGAAAGAGAAAAAGTCTCGCCGTTCTCTCTTCTAACATGTGACAATGGGACCCGCAGGGTTCAGCATCTTCGCAGTGTTGCGCTTCTTAAAGACGCACAGACCCATTGTTTACCGCCATCGGAAAACTGGTTTATGAACACGCAAAAATTGCGCCCTTTCCCTACAGTCACAGAACCGTACTGCCCTTGTCACGCGTGACGAAGCCATTAATACGTAATGGCACCCTCGCGCATCTGGTAACGCGCGCATTAATGCGAGCGCCAAAACGCATTGTACTGCAGCACCCTGATGTTTGATGTGGTGTGACTTTGCCAAATGGTCAATGACGACGTTTGTGTGTTTCTCGTGCATTGAAATAAATGGCCCTATACATGACGCACCGGAACGCCATCGCCCCTGCGACAGCCTAAGCTGTGCCCACGAACACGAAAGGAAATCGCACACATAAATGTGCGTCATGAATTCTCAAATTAAGGCCAGATTCACATCTATGCAGGTTGCGCTGATGCGTTTTTTCCCAGCACGGTGGTACATTCTATGTTTATGAACGTGCGTTTTTGCCGCATTTCGCTTTTTTGGTAATAGAAAAGTATGACAGTTCTGTTCATGTAGTGCGACTTTGATGCGACTTTACACTCTCTGGCACTCAAGTAGCATCAAAGTCACATCAAAGTCGCACTACGTGAACAGAACTTTCAATTTTTTTGCTAATAAAAAAGAATGAAAGTTCTGTTCATGTAGTGTGACTTTGATGCTACCTGCGTTTATAAAAATGCATTTTTGCTGCGTTCCGCTTTTTTGCTAATAGAAAAGAATGACAGTTCTGTTCATGTAGTGCAACTTTGATGCGACTTTACACTTTCTGGCACTCAAGTAGCATCAAAGTCGCACTACATGAACAGAACTTTTGCTTTTTTGTTTTTTCGCTAAAAGAAAAGAATGAAAATTCTGTTCATGTAGTGCAACTTTGATGCTACCTGCGTTTATGAGCATGCGTTTTTGCCACGTTCCGCTATTTTTCTAATAGAAAAGAATGACAGTTCTGTTCATGTAGTGCGACTTTGATGCGACTTTACACTTTCTGGCACTCAAGTAGCATCAAATTCGCACTACATGAACAGAACTTTCGCTTTTTTGTTTTTTCGCTAATAGAAAAGAATGAAAGTTCTGTTAATGTAGTGCGACTTTGATGCTACTTGAGTGCCAGAAAGTGTAACGTCGCATCAAAGTCGCACTACATGAATCAAACTCATTCTTTTCTGTTAGCAAAAAAGTGAAACACGGCAAAACGCATGTTCATAAGCGCAGGTAGCATCAAAGTCGCAGTACATGAACAGAACTTTCATTCTTTTCTATCCCGCTATCCGCAAAAAAAACAAAAAAGCAAAAGTTCTGTTCATGTCGTGCAACTTTGATGTGACTTTGATGCAACTTGAGTGCCACAAAGTGTAAAGTCGCATCAAAGTTGCACATGAACAGAACTGTCATTCTTTTCTATTACCAAAAAAGCGAAATGCGGCAAAAACGCATGTTCATAAACGCAGGTAGCATCGAAGTCACATCAGAGTTGCACTACTTGAAAAGAACTTTCATACTTTTCTATTAGCAAAAAAAAAAAAAAAAAAAAGCGAAACTCAGTAAAACGCATGTTCATAAACGCAGGTACCATCAAAGTTGCACTGCATGAACAGAACTTTCATTCTTTTCTATTAGCAAGAAAAAATAAAAGCGAAATGCGGCAAAAACGCATGCTCATAAACAGGCGCGGACTGACAACTCATGAGGCCCCCGGGCAATAGTGGATCATGGGGCCCCTGTGTCCTTGACCAAACTCAAAAAAGCCTATGAAAAAGGTACCAGGGGCATCTCATGGGGCCCCCAACTGACCCTGGGCCCTCGGGCAGTGCCTGAGTTTCCAAATGGTCAGTCCGCCCCATTCATAAACACAGGTGGCATCAAAGTCGCACTACATGAACAGAACTTTCATACTTTTCTATTAGCAAAAAAAAAAAAAAAAACGAAAATGTAGCAAAACCCAACATATACCATTAGTCCATTAAAGTCTATTGCACGCAAAACGCAATCTGCTGCAGGAAAAAAGTCCCTGACCCTTTACAAAATAACGCACTGGCTCAAGACGCACAGATATCAACTAGATCCATAGGAAATGGACTGTAGTGGGTTTCTGCAAACTGGAAAACGCAGTGAAATCCACCTGGGGTCAATCTCCTCCAGGCAGACATCCACCCATCAAGGCATTTTGATATTTACGTAGCGACTCTCAAGGGTCATTCCACTCAGGTCTGAGGGCTCTTGAGTGGAGTACAGAGCAGGGTGCTGTGATGTTTTCAGGAAGCTATGTACAGCACCCTGCCAGCTCCTCCCACCAGTCATAATCTGTCTGCATTGTATAGAGAAGCACAGAGACCCAGTGATAACATTCAAGTAAAATGTATTATTTAAAAAAAAAAAAATGATTAGCATGTTGATAAGCAGCAAAAGGAAAAACCAGGGAAGGCAAAATCTAAGCAGATTAGACTTCAGCTCTAAAAACGTCTGTGTAGACGGATCGCTCTGCCAGACTGGAGTGATGCCCCAATAAGACCATCGGGAATTGATTTGCAGAGAGCTGAACTTTCTCTTCTAGCAGCAGAAATTGTGAGGAGTTTGCTGGAAGACTCAATCGGGAAATTCAAGTTCAAATCTCAAAAACCACAATATATTCCGCATTGGGGGAACAGATGGGTCTCTGTCACCGAGACCAAGTAACCTCCTACCCCCCCCCCCCCCCCCCACACACACACACCCCACCCCCGTCCTGTACTAGGTGACAGATCTCTGGCCAATAGTGCACTTAGTGGATACCATGATC